TTGGAGGCCAACAGTAAGAGGCAGCCATCAAGGAGATGGAAACCTTCAACACAGGCTATGCAGTTGTCTAGAGATAAAATGTAATTGTAGCTGGAGGCCTTAAGACCCCATTAATTACAATATCATGCCCAGGCTGCTCATAACAGTTCTTTGACTTCCTTCTCTCAGGCACGAACACTCTCCTGGCCCTTTTCTGTTTATGCTATCAGGAAGTTATTCACGGCCTTGGGGAAAGTGCCAGTTGATCTTCTGGGGTGATACGACCTGCCAGTAACAGGACTGGCAGACTCACAGTGAACAACAGCCAATGCATATAGCATCGCCCAGGGACCTCCTTGTGCAGAGCGACCAGTGCGCGGATGCCCCTGTGCCTTCCTGTCTCTGTCCCTTCCTTCTCCTGCCTATTCAGTGCCCTGGGCCAGCACAGGGCAGGGCACACTGGAGAGCCAGGTACTTTAGGATCATGGAAGGCTTCTGTGATCGTGGATAAAATGAAAGTTCCTGTGGCCAGGATTCTCACCTGGCCCTGGTCGGCTAGCTCACTACACAAGTGTGGGCAATATGTTGCTATTGATGCTATATAAGGAGCTCTGCCCAGTACTTTGGGCGACACAGTGGCATGGCTGCAGGAGAGCAGAGCAGAGGCTGGAGTGGTGGCAGTGCCAAGGACAGAGGCCCAGAGGAGGCTGTGCGGGCAGAGAGCCCCGGAGGCAGAGACCGGCTTGGTGTGTGCAGACTCACTCCGAGTGAAGGGGATTTTAGTGATTGACCTGCCACTGTGGAAATAAAGTTGCGTATAACCCTTTCACCCCAAGAACTTTCTACCGTCATTTCTTTGGTCACACTGAATCCATAGCGAACTTGCCCAGGGCTGAAACCCACTGGCAAGGCAGTGATTCCCACTTGTCTGACACCAAATACACTGGTTTCTTTTTTCCCCACATTTATTTATAACAATAACAATATTATACACAGCAGTAATAGCGGTATAACTCCATTCGGGTTCCCGGCCCCAATTCCAGTGTGTGTAAGTCTCGGGGAGGGGGTCTTCCCACACATACTGACACCAAGCAATTCTCAAACACCAGCAGGGTAGCCAAGAACTCAACTCAATTCTGATGCTATCTCCCTGGAGTCAGTGCCAGACTCTGCAGGTCAAGGGCTCCATCCTACACCCTCCACCCCTCAATTCCAGATGCTGGTGGCAAGCCCCAGGCAGTTACCTGTGCTTCTGACCCACCAGCTACAGACGGGAGGGCCCCACGACCTCCCCCTTAGGTTCAATGAAATTGCTGGAGCAGCTCATAGAACTCAGGAAACCAGTTTAATAAAGGATACGAATGAAGAGCTGGATGAAGAGAGACACAGGGCAAGGTCCCAAATAAAGGAGCTTCTCTCCCCGTGGAGCTTGGGGCCTGGCTCAGTGGTATGTGGGGCTGTTCTGGTTTCCCAAGCCTAGAAGCTCTCTCCGACCAAGACGCAGGACCCAGCCAAGCAGAGCCATGCACAGTAGAGCGCAGAGAGAGAGTTCTTCTTTGGGGTTTTTTGTGAGCACTTCATTGCACAGTCATGATCGACTAAATTATTGGCGATTGGCTGTTCAGCCTCCCTGCCCTTCGGTGGGAGCCCTAAAGTCTCTCATTAACATGGCAAAACCCCCATTTCACCCTTAAGACTGCAGTGTTTTAAGGAACTGTGGATGCAGACCAGTCAGTATACCCGGGAAATACACGTACCTGGCCGTATGTGTGACCATTCACTACATCACTGCTTCCTATTAAGCTCCGTTCTCGCGGGCTGGGGGAGGGCTTTGAAAAACCCCGAGCATGTCTCCAGGGGTCTTCCCGCACCCTTCAGAGCAGACAGAAGCTTCTGCACCATCAGGGCCACCTCAAGCTCTGTTTCTCCAGCTTTGGAAGAGCTGAGTTGAAATATATACTCGGGAAAACAGATTCTTCTTTAAACTCTCTCCAAAAAAGCTGAACTGAGATGTAAGTGCTTGTCAGATGTGCTTTCACTCTACCTCCTTCCTTTTTCCAAAGCAGTGGAGAACATTCCTAAATGAAATCTTAGTTGAAAGCCCAGTGTATAAATTCTGTCCCCTGTGTCTGTCAACACGGCCCACCCTGAGGTGACCCCCGAGGTCCTTGTGAAACTCCTGGAAACCACAGGGCTCTAAGAAACAACCCCCCGAGCCTCCCAGGAGCAGCCGCGTGCTGGCCCCGGTTCTTTCCTGCCACAGTCCGCCTGCTGCGGACTTGTACTCACTGCTGCCCACTGAAGTTTCTGCCCTTTGGGCAGAGGAAGGGTATCGCAGGTCCCTTTGGGAATTTGAAGCTGACTGTACACTCTCATCCCAAGGAAATGGCCACGCATGAAAAGGTCTGCATATTAATTTGGTTGCTCCACGGCTCTGAAGCCCATCTATACGGTTAAACTACGCCACAGTCTGGCCAACTGATGTCCTTTCACGGAGCGATTTTCATCCCAGGTCATGGGTGAGCCACGTCTCACAGATAATTCTTTGCTGAAGCAGCAGCTTCTGAGTAACCACGACGAGTCAGCTTCTTTCCTAAATGCTAGGGATCCGACAGGAACCCAGCCGAGGTCTCTGGCATCTTATTTTAGAGGGGAATAGACATGAGATGATAGTCACGTAAGTCGTGCAATGGTTTCCAGTTCTGAGAAATCAATGAACAGGCCTGACTGGCGGGCCTGGCAAGCAGGTGTCACAGCCCAGGCACAGGCATGGGCGGGGGCTCCCGTATGGCCTTTGGGCTGGGACCCGGGGACGAGAGGGACTCTGCGGAGAGGGAAGGGCAGACACTCCAGGCAGATGTGGCCCCAGGTGAGAACGAGCTCGACGGCTCGGAGAAGGAAGGTGGCCACGTGCCTGGAGCTGTGGGCAAGGGGATCAGGCCGGGGACGCAGTGGCTGGGCCGTCAGTTTGTTCCTAGTTCACAAGGACAGATGGGTCTGGGTCTCCCGGGAGGGCCACGCACACCTGCTCCCATCCACACCCCAGAAGCAGGAGGGGCCCGTCTGCCCCCACTGCCTCACCCCACCGTGCCCCTCCCCCAAGGCACCACCCCTCTGCCTGGACTTGGGCTCGCTCATGTCCCCCCTGGGGCGCAGGCAGTGCCTCACCTGTCCCGCATTTCCCACGGTGCTGCACACTGGGAACCTTCCGTTATCACTAAGCACGATGATCTGTTGCAAGAAAGCAGCCGGCGTTTGTGCGGCCTCGGGCCTCGGCGGTGCCAGTGGTGCAGTGACGCCTGGGCCTAAGGTCTGCCTCAGATAAAAGCAAGCAAACAGCCCCGTTCTCTGGGGAGACCCCTGAAGGGCTCACTCTAGTCGGTGATTATTTACACCTACACTGTACCCATGTTTCCAGCATGTAAGCTTGCCAGGTGGTGAATTTTATAAGCCAAGTTTATTAACTATGTAACCATTAAAAGTGTAAGTAAATAACTTCAGTGCTGTTGGCGGCAGAGATTTCCTACAGTAAAACAGCAAGAGATGAAAACCTGGCCCACGGCGTTTATGAAGGTGTTGCCGGTGGCCAGCACATTTCTGTCCATCCCTGTCCCCCTCCCTCCCTCCTTCCCCTCCCCCCTTACACACACACACACACACCATGTTGCTGATGGAGAGAAAACACTGGTCAGATGGCACTGACGGCAAAGAACTCAATGAGCGCCGTCGCGAGACCGCGGCTGGTGTGGCCCCTGGCCGTGCACGTCCTGCTGAGCGCGGCCTGCCCCCAAGTGCGCGGCCCTCCTCTCTGCCTCCAGACTGCTCCTGGTCTTCACCACGGACAGTGGTATGTTGGTTTCCTGTCTTCTTTCTGTGCCAACTTCCAGAGAAAATGAACTGACCACACAGCTCCCGGAAAGAGGTGCGCCCAGAGCAATGGAGGAAGAGCCCAGGCTGGGTCTGGGCCTGCCTCCTGCTGCCAGGCCTCCATGTGCCCCTGGGAGTGAATCCGAGACTGTGTCTAAGGAGTCTGCCTGAGGACAAAGGTGACCCACAGGTGGGGAACCACAGTCAGACAAGGAGGGCAGCGAGGACTGCCGGGCATTCCCTCCCCGGGCTGGGCCTTTCACCAGCAAGGCGGGGGCTGGGAAGGGCTCGCTTGGCAGTGCTCCACGCAGGTGCAGGAGCCGCCCTGAGGCCTCTGAGAACCTCTCCGCCAGTCCCTGGGTGTGAGGGACACAGGGCGTGGACGGCATGCTATGGGCTGACGGGCCAGAGACCACGGGCTGAAAGTCCTGGTGGCTCCGAGAGCTCCTGTGCGGTGTTCTGGTCAGCAAGCCTGAGAGCGCCCGGATCCCTGTGCCAGTCAGCCGTCCTCCCTGGGGGGTCAGTGGAGAGCGAGCTGCATGAAGCTGGGAGGGAGAAGGGGGACTGCTTTCAGATTCGCCCAGCCCCCACCCCTACGCCAGAGGCTCTAAGGGGATTCCAGGAGGGTCACAATTCATTCAGTGCCTACCATGGGCCAAGCAAGGTCCACGCACTTAGGCTCACATGGCCCCCAGCCCTAGAACAGGTGAGGAGCCGTGTCTCCCCAGGGCCGTCCTTCATCAGCCCCACTGTGATGGCCCCGTGATCGGGAGAATATCTGTGTGCAAAAGTGGTGGGACAGGGACCACCTCAGGGCCTTTCGCCTTTGGAAGCATCTAGCCTCTTCGAGCAGTTTCTCTGCCTCTTCCATCCCCTTGTCCTCCAGGAAAAAGCCTCCATTAAGGCTACTTAAAACTGAAACAACACTCAAGTGCTGATGTTTGGCCCATCAAATTCACAAAGATCGACAGAACAGAACCAATGCAGAGCATGTGTCAGGGAACCTGGTCTCGTGTACTGTTCGTGGCCATGCACATCGATACAAACTTCCTGGGAAAATGCATCAGAAGCTATAAATATGCTGATATTGTTCGGCCCAGGAATCCCACGTCTGTGACTTTATCTAAGGAAATTACCATCAAGGTACACAAAGATTACTTACAAAGGCATTTATTGCAATGTTGTTTGGAAACAGACTGCCTCTCCCGGAGTGGGTCAGTTAAAGGAGCAGCGGGCCGTTCCCGCGTTTGCAGGGAGTGCCTCCTCCCCGGCCTCTGGTCGGTGGGCTTTCCTCCATACCCCCGCCTCTCTCTCCATCCATCCTCCTCCCCAGAGAGGCAGCAGGCGCTGGCTGGAGCCATCAAAGGCCCTCTGCTGGGAGAACTGCTCTGTTCTCCATGCCTCTCCCCCAGGTCAGGGGGCAGGGCGGGTGGGAGCCTGGGGCATGGTCGGCTTTAGGCTTTCCCCGATGTGGCCTCTTCCAGGGTCCGGGCAGAGGCACAGGGTCAGCGAGCCTGGTTCATGTCTTACATACGAGGTCGCCTCCCACTTTAGCCTGAACTAGGAGAAGGCGGATAGTCTGGCCTCTCCACTGCTGTGGGTGGGAAAGACGGCTTCTACTTGTTAATCTCTGTCTGAAACCCTCAAACATTCAATAGCACTATGTAGCCATTAAAATGGTATAGAAAAATATCATAATTAAAATGGTCTTATTTTAAAGGAAAAAAGGCAGGTTTTAAAACAATATATCATACCTACCACAGGTTGGTACGAGGGCTTACTAACATATTGCGGTCACTTTCTTGCTTATTCTGCATCCTCTGGTGTTTTTACAAAGTTGTGTAGATTTAAAAAATGATAAAAATCTGTATTGAACAGGTCACTCTGCTCAGTCGTAATCACCCCTGAAGTCCCCTTGTGCTCCTCCCAGCTCCCTGGCGTCACCACACCGACCTCCTTCTTCCAGGCCCGCGTGCTGTGCGGGGCCAGTTCTGTCACCTCAGTGTCTACGATCATCCATTATTTAGCTCTTTTCTGCTAGATTTCAACCTCCTCGGGGCAGGGACCATAACTTCACCATCTGCCCACAGCAACCACCAGGGCACTTGGCTCCTATCTGGTGCTCAGTTGATGTCTGTCCAGGGTCTTGGTGAGCGCAAGGAGGAACGACACTCGAAGAAGGGCACCTAGAGGGCGGTGACAGGGGAAATGACCAGAGGCTACGTCATCCAGACTGGAGAAATGGAGGCACGCTGGAAGGAGGGAGGTGTGTCAGGCTCTGCAGTGGCAAGCTCCTCAGGGGCTTTGGGGGAAGGAGGGCACCCCTCCTCTGCGGGGTAAAACAGCCCGTCACCCGTCCAGGACAGATGGGGTGTGCCTATGCCTGTGCCTGTGCCTTAGCAGGTGGCAGGATGAGCTCCGGAAGGCCGTCTCCCTCCTGGGATTCCAAGGTTAAGCAAGTGTGGCTTTATTGCTGCTATCAGGACATGGCCCCACCCCTCAGCTGGTGAGAGCCACCTCTTACACAACAGGAGGCAAGTGTGCCCAGGGAAATACAGCGACCATGGATAGGTGTGACAGAGCTCTGTGGAATCCTGCAATCAACCTCATGACCCCATGCCAGACTCGGTGTGGACCCTACGGAGCAGCTGCGGCCGGACTGCCTTCCGTCCTGGTGGGCTGTGGCTGCTGTCCCCACCCAGCACCTTGCACACACAGCCACCATGGCATAATCCCTCTCATGTGAGCATCTACTGTTCTGCCTGCCCAGGACCCCATCCTCTGCTAACAGGTGGCTCTGGTGGCCATTTCCCTCGGGTGACCACTTCTCTTCTAGCTCAGAGCATGCTTCCCATTGGGCAATGGGCTTCTGCCTCCTGGATGGACACGTGTCCCGGACGCCACATGATCCTGTGATCCACACGACTGTACCAGAACTCCTCTGCTGCGGTGCTTGCCTCAGTGATGAACGTGGGACCGAGAGTGGCCCAACCGGAGGCCACCCGGGCGCTTGGCGCACTCTCACCAAAGGGGCATTCTGCCTGTGGGGTGGAGCCTGCCGCCCCCGACAGCCCTCTTTACGGCATTGTGGGACCAGGGCACCTGCCAGGGAGTGAAAAGCACAGACACACTTACCTAGACATTCAGAAAGAATAGGCTTTGGAAATTGGTAATTATTTTTTATTAGCTTTTTGGTCTTGGACAAACTTAAATTCTGCAAGGTATCCTTGGTAAATAATGATAATCGTAAAGAGCTTAAATGAGGAACAGATAATGTACTTGAAACAATATAAACTGTAATGAGCCATTAGTTAGCCAATCATGTGTGGCAATAGAAATAAAAACAAAGGGAGAGGAAAAATTTATAAGTAGTTGTGACCAGGAGACCAGCAGGGCACACGGAAGTGTTTGTTACATGAAGGTGGGGCAAAAGGATTCACTGCGATGTTTCCTCTGAAAATCAGTCATGCAAATTTGATGTGGTTGTGGGTGTGGGTGCTGTGGGAGCTGTGGACATGTACTGTTTAGATCTTCAAGAGAACCTGCTGTGGGGACGAGAGCTGACGGAGGGCACTGGTTGCTCAGCCTTGGGGTCTCTGCAGTGTCCTAGGCTACGCTTCCTGGGGCTCCGCCGGTCGGTGACTGAGCGTGGTGAGGTCCCAGGGCTGGATCATTTCTTTTTTAACAGCTCAACTGAGGTATAATTCATATGCCACAAAATGCACTCATTTAAGGCTGGTAATTAAACGGCTTGTAGTATGTAGAGTTGTGCAGCCATTACCACTACCAATTCTAGGGCATTTTCATCATCCTGAAAGAAACCGCATACCCATTAGCACTCCCTCCCCATCTCCTTCACATCTAGCTCTAGGCAACCACTAATCTACTTTGTGTATCTATAGATTTGTCTATTCTGGACAGTCTATATAATTGGAATCACAAAATTTGTGCTCTTTTACTTAGAATAATGTTTTAAGGCTCATCCACATTGTAGCATGTAACAATATTTCATTTTTGCTGTTGAATAATATTCCACCGTGTGGATACACCACATTTGTTTATCTGTCAGTTAATGAACTGTGGGTTGTTTCCACCTGTTGGCAATACAAATAAAGTTGCTATGAACATCCATGTACAAGTTTTTGGGTGGACATATTTCATATATGCATATGAATGGGTTATATTCATATAGATTCACATAAATATCAATATAGATTTGATATATTCATATTTCATTTCTCTTAGGTATATGCCGAGTAGAAATTGCTGAGTCATGTAACTCTATGTTTAGCTCTTTGGGCAATACCAAACTGTTTTCAAAAGTGGGTGCATCATTTTACATTCCACTCAGCTACATGTAAGGATTTCCAGTTTCTCCCCATCCCCACCAACACCTGTTGTCTTTTGCAGTCTAGCCATCTGAGGGATGTGAAGTTGATGTCATTCTGGTTTTGACTTGCATTTCTCTTATGTTTAGTGATGTTGAACATCTTTTCATATGCTTATTGGCTATTTCTGTGTCTTCTTTGGCAAAATGTCTTTTCAGATTCTCTGCCCATTTTAATTAGATCATTTGTTTTTGTATTATTGAGTTATAAAATTTCTATTTATATCTAGATAAAATTTCTTTTTATATCTAGATAAAAGGCCTTATCAGAGATAGGATTTGCAAACATTTTCTCCTATTCTGTGGGCTGTCTTTTTACTTTCTCATTGGTATAACTTGCAGCAAAATTGAAGTTTTAAATTTTGATGCAGTCCAATTTATCTTTTTTTTTTTTTGTCTCTTGCACTTTTTGTGTCATATCTGAGAAACTATTACCTAAGCCAAGGTCATAAAAATTTATAACTATGTTTGTAGTTTTAGCTCTTTCATTCAGGCTTATAATCCATTTTGAATAAATTTTAACATATGGTATGAGTTAGAGGTCCGATTTCATTCTTTTCTGTGTGGATATTCAGCTGATCTTGAAACATTTGTTGAAAAGACTGTTCTTTCCCCCATTGAACTGTCTTAGAATTCTTGTCAAAAATCAATTGATCATAAATATAAAGCTTTATATCTGGATTCTCAATTCTGTTTCATTGGTCCATATGTCTGTCCTTAAGCCAGTACTAGCCTGTTTTGATTACTGCAGCTTTGTAGTAAATTTTGAAATTGGGAAGTGTAAGTCCCCTGACTTTGTTACTTTTCAAGATGACTGTGGCTCCTCAGAGTCCTGTACATTTCCATATGAATGCTGGACAGTTTCTGTGGGAGTGGGACCTCTCTGATGGGCAGTTTTGATGTGGGGACTCCACACTGCCTGCTCAAAACTTCCTCACAGCTCTGCTGGGGTGAGACTCTCCTGCCCCGTCTTCCTTCCCTACTCCTCTCCTTCCGCAGGTGCTAGACCTGCATCTGTGTCTACAGGCGCTCCCTGCGTGCGTCTGCCACCTCCTGTTGATCCTTCACAGGCATTTCCCCCGACATACCTCCTGCATATCTAATGCAGTCCTGATATCTGCTTCTCAAGGACCCGAAACTGACTCAGGAGAAAAAATAATTAACCTTCAGATCTAAGACTCCTAATAAGTTCCAAGCAGGCTAAGTAATAAATAATAAATAGGGTACATAAACCTACAGTTACATACATCATAGTGAAACTATAGAATGACAAAGAGAAAAATCTTAAAAAGAGCTGAGGCAGGAGAGAATACAAAGAGATTACTTCAAAGGAGCAAGATTCAGACTGACGAGTGACTTCTCAATAAGAACAATGGAAGCCAAAAGGCAGTGGCACGGCACTCTCAGGGTGAGGAGAAAATAACTGCTAACATAAAATTCCATACCCAGTGAAAGTATGCTTTAAAATGAAATGAGAAATTTGCATGATAAAACAATGGAAAAGTAAATAATGAAATAAAGACTTCACAGGTAAATGGAAACTGAAAGAATCTTCTTCAAATTTCATTAAATTCTGAAGATGATCTCAATCCCACAATCCCACATAGAAAGTGGGAGGTAGGGGAAAGAATAAATAATTTATGTAGATAAAAAGATTTAGATAATTTAGATAATAAGTAAGAATATATAGTTTTTGAACTCATAGAGGAAATAGCATGGAATTAAAATAAAAACTCATATAGGAAATAAAAATGGAATAAGATAAAATAACAATTAAAAAATGCAAGAAAAAGAGAAAAGAACATAAAAGAGGTTAACAAACATAAATAATATACTGAGGATTGATTTTAACAGAAATGAATTAGCATTTTACATGAAACATAAATTAACTAAGTGATCCAGTTAAAAGACAAAGAATACCAGAATGAGAAACAATACACTGTGTACCCAAGACATCAAACATTTCAAGATATACTAAAAGAATGAAAAATATTGCATTCAAATGGTAATAAAAAGAAAACTAGTGTAGCTATACTAAATCAGGCTAAATAAATTTTAAGCTAAAGGTGTAACTAGAGGAAAAGGGAATCATATCATATGAATAAAATTTAATTTGCCACAAAGACATAGTAATCCTAAATTCATTTATAGTTAGCAATATGGCCTCAAAATCTATTTAAAAAAACTAACCAAATTACAGTGATAGATAAATCCACAATTGTGGCAAGAGATTTTTAACTCATCTTTCCATAATTAGTAGAACAAGCAGACAAAAGATAAAGAAAGTAGACATGGTACTTAACTAAAAATATACCTTCTTTCCAAGCATGTATATAACATGTTTACAATACTGAAAATTACAGGACCATAAAGCATGTCTCTGAAAATTTCAAAAGATTCAAATTTTACAGTATAGTAACTGACTACAATGTAACTGAATGAGAATGATAATGAAAACAGTACATGTGGAAACTTCTGTGATGTAATTAAAGCCAGTACTTAGAAGAAAGCTTATAGTTTTAAGTGCCTATCTTAGAAAAGAAGAACAGTTGAAAATTAAAAATTAATGAGCTAGGCATCCACCCAAGAAATAAGGAAAAAATACAGCAAAATAAACATAATGGAAGTTGAAGAAAACAGTAACTAGATCAAAATTAATACCAATAAAACAAACACAAAAAGGAGAGGATCAACAAGGCTGATGGTTTTAGTCTTAGAAGATGAACAAGATTGATAGGCTTTTGATACTAGGCGAGAGAAAGATGCACACACAACACAGGAGACGCCTCGGACAGCGCACAGGTAACTCAGTGCACGCGAGGCCATCTCCGCAGACCGTGCACCAGAATAATCAAGCAGAGTGCTAGCCTGTGGGCACCAAGACCATGCAGGTGGAGCAGAGGAGCGGGCATCACTGGACACTAGCTGGAGGGAGGGATCCTTGCATCCAGGAGCTTAGCTGCATTGCCTGAATGTAAAGCTATGAGGCTCCTTCTCAGTGAGCTGTGGGCTTTTCCTTTTCCGCTGATGGCTGCAATTCAGTTCCCACATTCTGGATCCCTTTACCTAGAAAAACATCTCCCATGAACCAGCCCAACACCCACATTAATTTTCATTCTATTTTCCAAATACGTGTAACCTCATCTGGGTTATGAAAGCATGCAGCAGACCATGTGTTGAGAAAGAAAATGAGGCCATCACTAGTGTCCTACAGGAATCATAAAAGGATATTAAGAACAAATGAATTACAATGTATTGTGATATGCTCACCATCAAACTCTCATAGGCTCCTTGGCTTCCAGGAGGAGCTGGGATACAGGAACCACGTCCCGCTATTCCCAGGCCAGCCTCAGTGTTCACCTGCCTGCCCGATTCCCACATGATCAGCAATCTCCCATCAAGGGTTCTGGGTATAAGTGGGGTCCAGGTCTAAATGCAGAGGTAAACTCCCCAAGAATGTTATTTTTTACCTTCATCTCCCCCATTCTAGCTGCCTTTGTCCCTAAGACACTTTGATACATCCCTTGTCCTCTGGGGCTAATTGAACATAAATCTCAATGAGTTTCAGCTTTAACAAGCAAGATCAGGTGAGTAGTTACCTTCTGGTGCTTGGCAATCTTAGAATGAGGAAGAACAAGGTAAGTTTATGTCCACTAAATTTCCCAACTGTTCTTTAATGGAAATGTATATAAAGCAAGAGTATGGGAGATGTGTC